CAAGAGTGAAGAAGAGGGACACTGATGTGTAAGCTTTGCAATGAATGGCCCATCCTGCAGAGAATGGTGATTAGACCAAGTTGATAGTGGAGACAGAAATTATATTCCCAGATTTGGCATATATTTAAAAGGAAATTGAATTGACAGGACAACAGTGGAATGCATGCAAGGAGTGAGAGCAATATGGAAGTGAGGATAATTCCCAGATTTGGGGATTAAGGGGTACTGCCGTTTCCTGGGGTGGGGAAGAGAGATGATGAGCAGTTGGTGGTGGTGGTGGGGGGAGGACCAGATTTCTGTTTTGACCATATTAAGGCTGAGATGCCCATTTGGTATCAAAGGTGAGATGTCAAGTTAGACAACTGGTTATATAAGTTTTGGGATCTCTGAGGAGGCTGATCTAGGTTAGAGAGTCATTGGCATATGGCTGGTGTTCAAACCATGATCTTGATGAGACCGTCCAAGGAGAGGAGTAGACCCACGATGCAGCTCCGGGTGGTCCAGCACTTAGAAGGTGAACAAGAGGAGCTTGGGTTGGCCAGGGAGGCAGCAGCTGGTGGTGCTGCCAGAGTGTGGAGAGCTGAACAGAGAAGTGGAGAGCTACAGATGGACTGATCTACAGACGGACTCCAGCAGGCGGCCACATGGGGACGAGGGTGAAAGGAGTAAACCAGAGGTTGAGGACGCAGGCAAGAGATGGGAGCGAGCACTGTGGACTCTGAAGGTGGGCTGGGACGGAAGTGCCTGCACAGGATGAAGGGGATGTGTGCTACAGTGGAGTTGGTGTTGTCCGTGGCATTGAGATGCTGAAGTACTCAGGCCACGGTGTGGAATGTCTCATCGCCTGGGTACTGCACCTACTCAGGTGGTGGATACAGGATGGAGAGGGACAGATGGGCGAGGCTTCCTGCAAAATGAGACACTCAGAGGAGAGACTGAGGATTTATAGGAGATTAATCATATCAACGAAAGTTGTATCAAAACCAGGATGTCCGTAGGCTCAGGGGAAGTTTTGGAAGAGCAAATTCAATACTTGGCGGAGTGCACAGGGGCAGGGTGGGAGGGGCGCGGAGCAGGAAGAGATGAAACCACGAACTTGTCTTTCCACTTAAATTTCAATGAGCATTTATTGAGGACTTACTGTGGGGAGTGCACTGTGCTTATTCTTGGGAAACAAGGGCCCACAGGGCAGGAAAGGAGCTACAGGGCAGGTACGTGGAAAGATAAATAGCCCAAGTGTCTGTGAGTTTTCCAGAAGCTGCTAAGGTTGTCGAGAGCAACCCTTTCAGGTTTTCCAGAGTGATTTTTTATATGGTGGATCTTGATACATATTTACCCATCAATCAAATGAATGAAATCTACCTATTCATTTAAAAACAGTGCTTCAGGAGATGAACCGTGAGAGACTATGGACTCTGAGAAACAAACTGAGGGTTCTAGAGGGGAAGGGGGGTGGGGGGATGGGCTAGCCTGGTGATGGGTATTAAAGAGGGCACGTTCTGCATGGAGCACTGGGTGTTATGCACAAACAATGAATCATGGAACACTATGTCAAAAACTAATGATGTAATGTATGGTGATTAACATAACATAATTAAAAAAAAAACAATCCTTCATTGTTCAGTATCGTCATTAATTACAATGTGGTACCACCACACCCAGCAACTTACTGTGTGTTCAGGTAACATTTCATGATATGGGAAATGCTCAGGAAGTGATTTTAAAGTCAAAAAACACTTAAAAATTATATATACAATAAGATCCCACTTTTATGAGTGTGTGTGTGTGTTTGTGTGTGTAAGGGAGAAAGAGAGGGAGAAAAAGAAAAAGGTAGGGAGAGAGAGTCTGTTGTCAAATTATTAGTGGTGGTTATCTCTGGGTCATGAGGTTAGAAGGATGTTTGTTTTCTTCATTTCCCAAGCTCTCTAAAATGCATACGTATTATATAAACAATGTATCATCAATACATGCTGTGTAAAAATATTTTTCCTCTAGAAATTCGTATTTCTCTATTTTTAATTTTATGACATGTATAATAAACATTAAAATCCTAGTAGGCTTTCTCCCATCACAGAGTAATTTCCTGGCTGTTCTTCCCTTTTTTTTTACCCACCATTTATTCCTGTGAATTCCCTTCTGACCTTCCCTTCTTGCCCTGTGCCCCTGAAGGAGATGGCTCCCACATCAGTTCACTGATGAACAAGACTCTCCACCCACACTGCAGACAGACACGTTCATCTCTCCATTCTCTCTGTCGCCGTACACAACGTTGAGTTTTGTTGATGTGTCCCTTTGCCTTTTATATCCTATGGCTGCCATTTTCCATGCCAGTGCCCTTTCAATCTTATTTTGTTTGTTATTATTGGTTTTATTTTTCTTTTCCTGTGAAATGTTTATTCTAAAACACATCTGCAAGTCATTCATAGCTCTGGTTGGATCAAGTTAAGCATTCCATTGGATGTGAGTATCTAAGAATGTATTCCTTTCGTATCTGTAGGTTTCTCTTGGTAGTGTCTTTGAAAGCAAGTGTAACACTTGGATGCCCAAATGTCATCCGAAAATGTCATGTACTCAGGTCATAACTAGAGCGCAACATCTTTCACTGAAGGTTGACTCAAGGGACATTTTGGGGACGAGTATGATTACTGTCTTCTAAGGTAATCCGGAAGGTAGAAATGAATGTCAAACACGCTTCATTTTCCTTTTAAAACTACACTGGAGATAACATTTGATAAATTGTGGAGCCTTTTTTTGAAATTTGCCTCTGCATGTTCTCAAGGTTATGAACTCCACATGTGACTAAGGCAGAATTTATTTGTATAGTTTCTGCCATTGTTTTCTTGAGTTCCAAGTTCCCCAGAGTTTGATGGAGAGACCAAGAGCTTACCGTATATTTATCTGTTGACTCCCAATTTTGTAGACTTGATTACTCCCTTTCACTTTTCCTGCTTTATGACAGAATAATTGTGAGCCATTTTCCTAGCCCCTTGAAGTGGCCTTCCCTGCACTCTTGCTAGGTCAAAGATGGCTTTGTTGAGTGCGTAACCAAAACACTGTATTTCTTTCTACATCCATGAGGCCGTCAGCACATTTTCTATTTCGCTTTCTATATTCTTTCTTCTGATGTTGCTGAGGTTTTGGCTGAGATTTCATTGTGGATTCATGTCCTCAGTTGTAAGACAGGACCAAGTCAGGACATAATCCTTGGAAATGCTGCATGGGCCATGTCTTTGGGGAGGATTAGTGCTAGCGATAATCCAAAATAGTTGCCAATGCTGACATGCTCATTTGGTGATGATTTTGTAGGGATTCCCTATGTATATTTTCAGTTTTGATATACATGTAAGATGATTTTACTGAGAAAACTCTAATGAATGAAAAATTACTCTGGATTGCTTAAGCATACAAGAGCTGAAGGAAAGAAGGGGTCATTGGGTGGAAAGACTTTGTTGGATGATAGGAAGAACCAGTCTGGGATTAAATGATTGATGTAGATAATCCTCAAAATGAGTTAATCCATGTGAATTAATCTAACGTGTATAATCAGCTTTGAGGGCAGCTCTGTTGTCCCTGCTTTTTAAAAAGGAGAATAGAGAAGCTAATATCCAGTCAAGTTACAAAAAAGTAATTAAAAAGGAAAATGGTTTCTCTAGGAGAAACAAGAAGGGCTTGAGTTTGGTTATATTTCCTCCCTCCTTCTCTCCTTTCCTCCCTTTTTTACTTGGCTATATCTTCTGAGTGCCCATGGTGCTCTGCTCCAGCCCTTACCTGTTCTAGCATTTCCTCCAGGGGAATACCTTACTGGGGGTGTGTATACATCTCCAAATATACACTCATTGGTCTGTAAGCAACCTGAGCGACATCTCATGTATGTCTTCGGTGGCCACATGGACTCACACGGCGCCTTACATGTACTCGATCCTCCACAAATGTAAAGGGATGTTTTCCATTTAATCATAAATAACGAGTGACTTTTATAACTTTAACAATATGAAGTGTTATTGTGTGACACATGTCAGATAATTGTGCTCTGGGAAACAAGCTTCCAGTGGAGAAATAGAGGAGGTTTTAAGATAAAAGATGAAACCATATTTTCTAGACTGCAGGGGGAGTCCTGTAATAGATTACCAGAGAAGGAGGTGAAATCTCCATCCCTGGAGATCCTTAAAAATTGGGCAGAGGAAACATCTGTGAGAAGGACGGAAGCCTTAAGCCTATTTTGGGGCACACAGATAGAATGACAAACGATTCTGTGATGCTTTGATGACTTGGCCTGGAGGAGAGAAGACTGAGGGGAAACAGGAAAACTTCTTTGGATACGGAAAACAGCTATCGTTGCTTTCCGTGGGAAAACAAGTCACGGGAGCTTAACCTAAAGCCTTAGAGATTTAGGTTACATTTTACGGTTAAGGATTTTTGAGACCTAGGTTGTGAAAATCCTGTGGAAATCTGCAAACTAAAAGATTGATTTGTGTGAGACCCAGAATCAGTGATTCTATTGCAGGAAAAAAATATATATATATTTTACTATTGCTCCAAATAGAATTATGCCAGCTCGCTATATTCAGTGCCCGGCATTCTCGTGGGAAAGAAGAACCTCTAAAACTAGTATTTTTAGGCAACAGGCATCATCACTGTTTTGTGGATAGGAGTGGGGAGCAGATAACAGGTGTGAGGTCCTTTCTATCTAAATACCTGTACAGGGTTGTGTTACTAGATCAGCAGCCAGAGGGTGAGGAGGAGTCTGGGACACAGCTCTGCTCTGCTGGGTCAGCCTTGTCTTCACCACTGACCCTCTTCCCTGTGAAAATGCAGCAGTGTGTGTGTGTGTTGCGGGGGGAGGGGGTGGAGGACTGCAAAAACCCCATCAGTACAAAGGGAGGCAAAGTACCTATTAAGAAGCATTATCTTCATTAGGTATTTGATTGCAGTTTTAATGTTCAGCCACATGATGTCACCATTGGATTTTGATTTCACTGTGCATTTGTCTCCAATAACAGATGAAGGCGTTTTCAAAGCTGGAGCAGAGAGGTCTGAGACACGGGGGGCAGCAGAAGTCCAAGAAGATGAAGACACTCAAGTTGAGATCCCAGTTGACCAGGTAGTCGCCATGTTTTTAAAAATATGCATAAACTAATGACCACTTTTTTCTTTCAAGTTTTGTGTTATCTGCTCCAGGCTGTTCCTACGAGTAGGCTGGTTAGACCCTCTCAGGTGCTGGGTCGTCGAATGGCCCACAACACACCCCTCAGGTCTTCCTAGTAGTCCTACAAAGAATAGCCAGTTGAGTTGTCTTTTTTTAATTTTAATTTTTTTAATAATGTTGATGTAACTTTAATAAACAGCATTGAAGAATAAGGTGGATTGGGTAAGCCGTGAGATGCAAAGAGGGAGAAAGTTTGATACAGAAAAAGCATATTGGCTGGGGGTTTTTATCTAGAAAAAAAGTCCTCCATTCAGAAAAGAATTTTTTTTTTTTTTAAAAGCTGTGCTATTCTATCCTTTAGGGTCCTTGAAATTGGTGTGGTTGGAATTTATTTTTCATAGAAGAATTGCTTATACAAGTACAATGCGCGTTATTTGCTGTGTGTGTTATTGATTTTCTTTTTCGGCCAACAGAACACGGTACTTGTAGGAGAGAGAGAATGAGAGTGAGTGTGTGAGTATGTGTGTGTGTGTCCATGTGCTTACAGAAGGGATGAAGTAGTGCTAGGGTTGGTTAAATGATGCAAGAAATAAGTCAGTTAGGCTTTTTAATACAGCTCAGCCGGATTTCTTACATTTCTAGATGGAGGATTAGCATCAAGGTGGGGAGGAGGATGTCGTAACCTCAGGCTCAAGGGAATGAGAAGTCACTAGGCATTGTCACTTGTCCTCTATTATGTGAGATTTCCTTTACAGAAAGCAAATTTCACAATCCAGCAAGTTCCATAGATGATCTTCTCAGTTGTATTTGTCTTTAACAGTGTGGCAGTGAAATTGCTGCTTGATTATTCTACAGGCATTTCCCATAAGCATCGCCTTCCTGATGAAAAGCCTCATGTGTTAAAAATCACACAGATTTCAAAAATCCAATTTATTACCCAGGATTAGCCACAACTAATAATTTTTCATAAACTCCAGGTATTTTTTTTTCCTGAGGGAAAATGGAATTTTAAGTCTCCTGTGAAAGCTGCAATTAAATGTTATATTTGAAGACAAAGAAGAGTAATCATCATGGATGTACAGCCCCGAAGAGCTGCCCAACACAAGACGAATTTATTCCAGAGTCAGAAGGCCAGATGATATCAGGACAGAATCAGACCGCGATTGCCAAAAGAGAAATCTCTTTGTTAATCACTTAACAAGTTTCAAAACCTGTGATAGGGGTTTCGTTACTTGTAAGTTTTGTGTCACAGGAAGGGGAGCTGATAGAAGGAAGGAGCTGGTCTCTGATGCGACCTGAACAGCCTTGGCTGAGTGTTTGCCGAGCTCCATTTCTCATTTGACTGGAGAGGGTTAGCTTATTAACATGCGAGCGTGCAGAGACTCTGGGTAAACAGACTGGCGAAAGCTGGGCAATGTCAGCACACTGATGTCACTTCGAAGGAAATGAAACCCGGTAACAAAAGGTCAGAACGCCTTTCTTCCTTGCCCCCGTTGGTAATAGGGCAGGAATTGGCTGGTGCACGTGGTTGGCGAGAGATACTTACGGGGTCCGGTGTCAGGGTCCTTCTCTCTGTGGCCTGCTGACCTTCTGTTCCCTATCCTCACCTTCTTCTGTTCCCTATCCTCA